AAGAAAAATCATCATTACAAACGTAGGAAATGATTTCTTATGTCGATCAATATAACAAAAAAAGGACAACATTATATAATCGGAAATTTACTTTAGGAAAATACAGTGTTTTTTAAAAGTATCTTAGGAACCATAAAGTTTTTTTTATAAAATCATTTTAGCATAGTAAATTTTTTGGGTCAAGCGTGGATTGTCCATAAAAATTAATAAAATTGGTCTAAATTTTCTTTAGTGCTGATAGACTCAGAGTCATGAAGGGACCATTTCATTGTATGGGACAAAAAAATCGGGACAGCAGAAATTAGACAAATGTGATGAGGGGATGCATAAGCCCTGAATGAAGCCACCCTAATAATAATATAATATTATTAATACAGCGACTCTCAAATTTCAGCTACTCGGAATAAGTTCAAAACGCCTCTGTGCAATACTAGATGGCGCAGAACCACCATCCGATACGGAGTCATCAAGCGGGTCTCCTGACCAGTTTGAGACCATTTCACTGGACAGCATCTCTTCGGATGAGGAAATTCTGAGTCAAGATAGCAGTAGGAAGAAGAAGGTAAATATACCAACAATGTTGTGACCTTTTGATGCTGGTCTTCTGACAGACTGATAGGCAGATGGTTCATGTCACTTGTTACAACTTATTTGATCAGACTGGCCTAGTTAATGTCAAAGTCAAAGTGAAGTAATCATTTATTCCATAGGTAAAATTTTTACACTTGAAAACATCTTTGATTGCTCTTTTTGAATAAACTTATATGCTATGGAATACACTTTGAATCATAATTGTGTAGAATCTAGAATCATGTTGCCTTTCTCAATGCTCAAGTCAGGATTTGAGCAGACTTGAGTATGATTTCAAGCACTGGAAATACGACCCTAATGGCAAGGACTTGAGTATGATTTTCAGTGCTCACTGCGATACTCAAATCCTGACTTGAGTATTGAGTAGAGTTCTGGAATACGACCCTAAGACAAAGTTGTCAATTTTGTAATATGACTTTTCAATTAAAATACTTTTAATGTTAGTTTTAAACTTAGAAAATGCTAATCTTATTATATTCTCCGGAATTTTATTGCAAAAACGCATACAGTTCCCCATAAAAGAATCGTTTACCTTAGTTTAACGAAATCCAAGGGCCTTACCACTTACTTACCTCTTATTACAGCTCAGTATAGGTTCGTAACGACAAAACAGCGGGATGGTGATATACACTTCCTGTAGCGCTGTGTCATTATTATTCATTTTAGGTATAAACTGAATCGTAATAAGAGTTCATGGTAAGGCCCCTGGCACCATGAGCTTGGACTCAGTTCTAAGGTTAATATTATGGATATCTTTTATTGACGTTATGTATATTTTTACGGGCATACAAATTATTTGAGTAAATGTACTGTGATGTCATGATACCAGTCTCCTTAAAGTTTTCTCTGAGAGAAACCCCAGAACTTAAACGGTACACAGAACGAATCGCTCGTTTTTGCAACACAAGTGTACTTTAATGAAGCTCTAACCTGAAACCTTGGCCTTTTCTGAGAGGAATTTAAATTTTTAACAGAACCTGTGTTTTAGAAATGTATAAATAATCTCAATCGCGTACATGTGTTTTTGTTTGTATTCCATAGCATATAAGTTTATTTGAAAAGAGTAATAAAGAGTAAAATCCCTAGAGTTTCTTGCTCGTTCATCTCTGGGAGGTCAGCGCAGTGAACGAGCCGTGGCTTAAAAAAGACGTCTTCAAGTATAAATTTATTTTACCTATGGAATAAATGATTTTTTGACTTTGACTTTTTAAAGAAACCAACGTTTTTGTAAAGTCATCAACCAGTTATGTCGATTATGTTTTTTATACAAACCACCCTAATATTCATTAAAGTTACACAAGATATTAATTTGAATATCTTTCTTTTTATTTACCAAAGAACATTCCAGTTTACGCTACCTACTTTTTGCAAAATATTGTATACATTTTTTTTTCTAATACCAACTGACGGGACGAACAATTTGTGCGCCTGGTGGTAAGCGACACGCCTGTCCATAACAGTTGCAGTGCCACCCAGAGCTTTAAAATGCAAAGATGTTAGGGACATTGCCACTATGCCCGTCACCCTGAGACGTAAGTTGACAAGTCCCATGTGCCTATAATTTCACTAGCACCCTTACCCTTCCAAACCGGAACGCAGTAATGCTGACGTCACTGCATGGCGGCAGAAATAGGTAAGGTGGCAGTACTTCCCTGAACGAAATCTGTCACAAGGAGTTCTACTGCTTCTAAAAATAACAGTTTCTTATGGTTACAAAATTCGCTTCCATTACATTCCACGGCACTGTAAATTGCGCTTAATAATAATAATAATTATTCGAATTTATTATTCAAAAATTTTTAAATACACTTGCAGCACAAACATAAGCACAGGGACTTAAAATCGAAATCAAAGAAGAAGAGAGCGAGAGAATCTTCAACAGAAGATGTTGAACAGTCCAAAGCATCCCGTGCAGGTCTCACTGTGCTTGAACTGCTGGAGTTGCAGGCGAGGGCTAGAGCTATTCGAGCGCAATTGCAGCAGGAACAACTTACTAGTAAGTATATAATAATTGACTTTTTTTATGATACCAAATGACAAACAACTCGTGCGCCTGGTCATTATACTAAGCGACCTTTTGATAAACTCAGAGCTCAGTACAACAACTGCGGCTGCGGTTTCCCTGGCATGTTTACCGTGAATAGAGTAGATGATTTTTTCGCCATAATACGAAAGAGACAATTGATCTTTTCTTACGAGAGTGAGCGATTCGGCCTATATTATTGTAAGAACATTAATTATTTATATTATAACAAATTAATTAATTATAATTATACTATTCTTTGTAATGTAAATTCAATTTACTTTAATTCTTAATTATTTACTTTATTAACAAAATAATAATTTTGCATTAATAAAATTTATTTTAATTGTTATGTTTTGCAATAAGTAATGTTAAATTTATTAATGGGTTTATACCTAAATAAAGAAACATTTTATTTTTATTTATTTATTAAGTGACACGCCTTTGACACAGTTGCAGTGCCACTCAGAGCCAGGAATCGCAAAAGATCTGAGAGGTACTGCCACGCTGCCTGTTACTCTGAGACATAAGTTGACAAGTCTAATTGATTCATAATGTTTTTCGCGACTAATCTCAATATTTTTTTTATCTACGTCTTTGTTCTTGAATTTCAATTACATTTTATAATTATCGTTTTTGCTCAGATGAGTGCCCTAAATTATTACTAGCTATATGAGACTTAAAAGGTCGAACTGAAAAATGAATGTTGTGAGTGTGATTATCCTAATAATGATTATTAATAATTATTAGCGTAATTATTCTAATAATTATTATACTTACTATTCTAATAATTATTATAGTTACTATTCTAATAATTATTATGGTTACTATTATAATAATTATTATAGTTACTATTCTAATAATTATTATTAGAATAATATTTTTATAATTCTCATTATTTTATAAACTGACGATCACTTACGAAAAATGACACGTAATTGTATTTGTGTGACATTTGTAAACTAAAGTAAACTCCGCGTCTGCGTGTGCATCATAACCACGAAGCACTCGCATATTTTTAAGTGTCTGCTTCCGCAACCGCCATCTGATTCAATATATACAGTTTATTTCACGATAGTATTGATAGGTGTGGGCAAAGCGCGAGAATTCGGCAGCGCGTGCTGCAAGCAGTTTTCTGAACAAATATTTTTTTCTGTACCACATGTTTTTATCTTTTTGCAGAACAACAAACAGAAACAGAAGTCGCTCAATCTTCGTCATCTGATGGCGAGGTAGAGATTAAAGAGGAGCCAGCTGAAGTATTGATCATCAGCAGCAGTGAGGATGAGAAGCCTGACTTAAATGAGCTTCAAAAAGGTAAACTCACCATTTCAAGTCTCCAATCTGTATTCAGCCAGCATGCAAGGAGAACTTTAGTCTAAACCTTCTCATCAGAAGAAGTCTGTGCTTAACGGTTGGACAAATATATGCACGCTAAATGCACTGTATAGAATAACTATTATTATAACCAAATCTCCAATAGTGTTAATACATGGAGAAAATGTATAATTAAATTTGTTTTTCACACTTTAATATTCGCGTTAATTATATAGTACTAGATAGTACTAGATTAATGTAGGGAAAATCAAAATAATTGTTATTATGAATAACACATCAGATGCGCAAATATCATGACAAACATACGACTTTATAAAGTTTTCTTTTTATTTTCAGAAATTCCTCCAAAAGAAAAAGAATTACCAAAGGAATCCTCCAAACAAATGAAGAAAGATAAGAAGAAGAAAGAGAAAGGCAAGAAAGATAAAAAGGATAAAGATGTTGACAAAGATAAAAGAAAGGATTCTACAACCAAAGATACCGAACAAAATACTTCTAAAGTACCTGAAAATGTTAAAGTATCTAATGAGAGTCCCCAGAAAATTACTAAAAAGATTAATGATTTAATAATAACTGTACCTCAACAAGCTACAAGAAAGATTAAACTTAACCGCAATAAAGTAACTGTCTCAGTTAGTAAAGAAAACAATGAGGAACCAAACCGAATAGTAAAAGTTACTGATGGTAACGAAAATGTTAACGAATTTACTTCAAAAATGGGTTCATCAATTATCTCAGTTGACAAATCTAACATGAAAGCTGTCATAAAAGATAAAATCGGAGAAAAAAATGATAAAAAAGATAAGTCAAAAAAGAAAAAAAGAAGGAAACGTATAAATGCAGATAAAGATAGTGATCACGATGAAATTACACTACAATTGTCTGACACTGAGAAGATGGATTTGTTAGAAGATTTCGATAGGAAAAGTTACGATGTAGTATCCAGTACTAGTAACGAGGATACTGATAGTAGTGCGGATACTGAAAGTGATTCTAATAACTCTAAAAATACATCGAAAGACAGCTTGAAAGATACTACTATTCATGATAAACATACATCTATTGAAATTAAAGATCCAACAAAAGTTCATGAAATAGATAATAAATTATCTAGTAATGAAGAATCCGTAAAACAGAAAAGTTTGCAAAATCCTCAAGAAAATAATAAAACAGATTCAGAAGATACAATAACTGAAACTGAAACATTTGAAACGATCGCTGAAATTGTTAATTGTCCAAATAAAACCGTTGAAGTTGATATTTCCGAAACAAATAATCAAAATAGAAATCCAGATAAGGGAACTGATATAACGGGATTCATTTCTGAAACTGTAAACAAAAATGTATTAACAATACAAAATATTGACGATATACCTGTTATAAATAAAGAACCCGAAATAAATTCTCAAGCTATGAAGACTGAGATTTCTGAAAATAAAGTTGCTGAAATAGACTCAATGGAGATTGACCAAGACAGTCAAGCACATAAAATTATTGAGAAGCGAAACAGTACTGATGCACTGAAACCTAAAACTCAAGATACAGAAAAAAATCTCTCAGAAGGGGAGCTTTCAGAACACAACAGTTCAGAAATTGAAGCTTTGGATCTAAAACCCGAAGTCGTTTGCATCTCTGATGATGAAAAAGGATCAGCTAAAAAGAAGAAGAAGAAAGATAAAAAGAAAAAAGATAAGAAATCTAAAAAGAAGGATTTTCGGGAAAGCGCCGATGAAAACTTTTACAGATATTCAGATTGCTTAGATAAAAATAATGCAGCAAATTCAAAAGTGACTGACAATTCCATTGAAGTTACTGGAATTGAACCTAGTAATACTGCAGTAGAAAACACTGAATCAATTAACGTAATGGATGATGACGTTTATGAAATTTTGGAACTAAGTGACGATTCTTCTTGCTATGAAGTTGAAGGTACTGTTTTATCAAAAGAGCCAACTGTAGAAGAAATTGCTGCTCTTTCTGCTAAAATAGACGAAATAGGCAAAGAAGAACGAGAAGAGGTTATCACAGAAGAAGAGATAAAAGAATTTGAGAGAAAAAATGAGAGTTTAGAAGCGGATGATAATATTGAAAATATTTCTTGGAAGGATAGATATTTAGATAGCAAGAAAGTGAAGAAAGTTTTAAGTACGTCAAATATATTAAATGCATTGAGAAAGAAGAATAAAGAATTAAAAAATAAATTGGAAGAAAAGAGGAAACAAGAAGAAAAACTGAAACAGAAAGAAAAAGAAAATGAAGCTAAGAAAGTTCAAAAAATTGAAGCTGAGAAAGAACTCGTTGAAGAAACTTTGGAAGAAGGTTCTATTGGACATTACAACACATTACAGGGGTCTACTAAATATGTTGATCCTGTTAAAGAAATTGACAAGACTGAAGAAACAAGTGTGGAAAAACAGAGTAAAGAAAAACAGATCGAGGGAGACGATGAAGATAATAAGAACGACGATGAAAATGCCAAGAAAGGAGTAACAGGAGAAATGAAGAAAGACGCAAAACAACTATTGAAAATGTACAAAAAGTTATTAAAATACAATGACATGAATAAACAAAAGCACAAAGATCCAAATAAAAAGAAAAAGAAGAAAAGCAAAAAGAAAGAGTCGTCTAAGGAAAGTGTTTCTGCGTAAAGCGCTTCGAAGGAAATTTAAAAGCGAAGTATAATTGTTTATTTCATATAACTACTTGCGTTAGTGATTGTTATTATATAGAAGCTGATTTTGTTGATGACGCAAAAACTTGCGTGCGTCAATTTAATTTTTTGTTACAAGAAGTAAAATAAATAAATTATATCACACTCACTCATTCTATTCTATCGCCAACGATGAATATTGATTACGCTTACGCAATGGGTGAACTTGTTTCGTTTTGGAACAATTATGAATTTAACCCCCCACTATCCTCCAGAATTGAAACCAAACAGTGGGTTACAATCTTTTATTTCCAGAAAACAAAAGTTAATAGTATTAGCTGGAGTCGGACCGAGAGCGTGGGTTACTAGAAGTGAATTGCATACATTACTCTAATTATTACTTAAATATTACATACAAGAACTAAAGGGAATAACTTTAGAAAAGACATTACATATCTGTATTATGTTAAGGAGGCCAAGCAAATCCAAGCCCAAAGCAACCTGACGGGAACCGGGTGAACTTGGTGAACAGGTCACAGCAGAAGTGTAAAAAATTAGGATTTGGAAGAAAATCTTGAAGAAAACCATAGGCGTCTAGAAGTAAAGTCAAAACGCTATAAAAGATAAGTGCGAAAACGGTTATTAAGAAAAATATTCTAGCAATCCAAAAACACAGATGTCATATAAAATGACTATAGATTAGTATTGTAAGTTGTAAAAAACTCGAGCCCGGGAGTCTGCATTCATAAACTCTACTCATTTTCGGCTCGGCTCGAAGGTCTAAAATTAAAACACTTACGAGTCCGAGTCTAGTCGAGTGTGAGTCATCGGAGCATGGACTCAAGTCCAAAAAGAACTCGAGTCGTAAACGTAACTCGAGTTTTGAACAAAAAAAAAACAGTTTCTTGCTCATTCTTCTCAGGGGATCTGCGGTACGAATGAGCAGTAAGAGTTTAATCAGTATGACGATTTGAAGTATAATTTGCTTACCTATGAAATAATAGTAGTTTGTGTATTATGAACGATAAAAGACAGACGGACAGAAGAAAGAAAGACATTACTAACGAGGGTCTATTAGAAGCCCGAAGCCGAAGGCTGAGGTCTTTTATAACTCGAGCTTTGTATTTTTATACCGTCCGTGACCTACCTACAATCTTTTTCATCACGTTTGCGAGGAAATAAATAATATAAATATGGTTCACAGCACAACAATTATTATTATGATTTGGCAAATAGCGGGGTTTTTAATTCTTCCATAGATAACTCGAACTAAAATGTTGAAATGAAAACTACCAAAGTTTTACCATTATTATTCCAGCGTAAATACGCTACCGCAGACGTGGCTTTGAGTGAAGCATCACTAAACAAAATCTAATTCTAAATTACTCGACTCATCCGTAGAACAAAGACCTACATGCAAGACTGCTTATTCTGAGGACATTGCACATTTCGTTCGTTGTTCTTCGCTGTGGCAATCAGATTGACTGTTGTAGGATTTTATATTTCCTAAACGAAATATGATACAAAAGTTCTGAAAACACCATTGACTTACAATTATATGGACGTCGGGTCCGCGCTAAAAAGTGTCCGAACTTATAGGGCGTTAAAATCGTATACAGAGCGTCATTCACGCTTTAGTCTTCGTTTATTCGACTGACAGCGACGCAAGCAAAATTAGACAGTACTGCGATGAGATTACAATTTAAATTCAACGTTTTAGCTTTTTCATATTCCTTTACATGTCACTACGTTTAAATAGGTTGACTTGGGACATTTTTTTCGTGGTTTTTGTATTAGACCCGTCTTCCATTTATTTGTAAGTCAATGGAAAACACCTATCGATTAGCCTTATTTTGAATACAAGAAAATGTATTTATTCTATTTTCGCTGTATAATCATATCGGACTTTGTTCTTTGGATGAGTCGTACTATTGGCCGCTCGCAGCTACGAGTGCTACGATAACTCGATCTTCCGGCTGCTGTAGCGGGAGATCGAGTTATCGTAGCACGTCGCGTAGTATGACTATACGTCTTCGCGTCGTAGTCGCTCGTAGCACGTCTGTTGCATTGCTACGCCGTAGTCCGATTCAAGTCGTGTCTCGTTTTCTCTTGCAACATTCTCGGTAGACCAATTTTATCAATAACTAAGTAAATCTACCACATACACAATTTTTACCGACTTCAAAAAAGGAGGAGGTTTTCAATTCGACAATATTTCTTTTTTTTTTGTATATCTGTTACGCGATAACTTCCGTACCTGAGAAGCATTACAGTGTAACCGCCGTTTTTACAATTTTACAGGAGATGCGATTTTGTGTCAAATTGCAGCATTTGTAACATTTAGGATGGCATAACAATAAAATTGATCAAGTTTCAATAATAGAAGAATGTTTTAATTTTCTAAATTTGGTAATTGGAGATTAAGACAGTTTACATAATGTGATCAGTTTCTTACTTTTAGCGATATATACTACAATAAAACAAAAAAACTAGCTCACATACCGTGTTTTGCTTTTAAATAAAAATCAAATAGTAAAAAAGTTTAGTTTATTCTAATTTCTATTATTAATTAATAATAAATTGAACGTAATAAAAATTCATTCAATAAAATAATTTGTAAAACTTAATGTAGCGTAAATTGGAACGTTTTCTTTGTAAAATTAAAAATAAGGTATTTCATTAATAACTATTGTAACTATAGTGAAAAAAATAGGGTGGTTTGCATCAATATTAGACATAACTGGTTGAAGACTGTACCACCTCAGTCAACCGTGACCTTAGGACCTGTAAAGGGCCCGAAACGTCGGTTTGTTTGAAAAAACAAATATACGCGATTTAAATCCGGAAAAATAGTTTCATTTCCTATGCGTAACAATCGCGAAAACCTAAGAAGTCGATAAATAGAAAAAAGTTACCGCATTATGACACCTCTTATAAAAAAAATACTACATTAAAATTATTATTATTACTTAACTAAAGTAACCTTTGTCAGGAACGAAACCGTGCTTCAGCGTGTTCATATGTAAAATGATGCCATCTATCAAAAGGCGCAAAATAGAGTATCTTGGTTACGTGATCAGGAACAATAGATACACGCTGCTATAGTTAATAATGACGGGCAAAGTGCAGAGAAAGAGACGCGCTCGGCGAAGAAAGAAATCGTGGCTGCGGAACATCCGGGAGTGGACCGGCAGTGCCTCCGTCAAACAGCTGTTTCGGTTGGCTGCTGATAGAGACGGATACATGAAGCTGACGGCCAACCTTCAGCATTGAAGAGGCACTGTAAGAAGAAGAAGAACCTTTGTCAGTATCAGTGAGATAATTGCTATTGATATAGGTTACTACAGTTAATATAATAAGTTTTTTTTGCTTTTGTTGGTACAAAACTTATGAAGAGGTTTCTATTTATGTTCAAATATTTTTTTTTAAATAGTACAATAATTTCTTGTTTACGCACTATGCAAAGTGATCTATGACTTAACATAATGCACATACGTGACTAGTAAGATCTGCATCAGTCTTCATTCTCTGACTCCCGTTGGCATGTGGCAAATCAATGTAATACACTACATATTTAATATGTAATTCTTGTGAAGTAGACAATTGTTAGCTTCAGACGTCCATGTATGAAGGTGGAACCTGAAAAGCAGCATGTAGTGCTCAGATTCATCCTTTTCATTGACACTAGAGTCCACATTTACGAAACTGTTAACTGTTAATCTTTTTATTCTAAATGTGCTTATGAATAAATGTCTTATTGTTTTTTTCTTTATTTTTCTCAGCTTTTTTTTTTGTAGCTGGCATGAACCACAACTGCGGACCGAAATCAAGCAAATGCAGCATGTCTATGTAGACAGTGGTGGCGGTGCGTAACAAAAGCTTACTTCGCCCCCTTTCATCTGCAAGAACCTTCTGACAATGCGACAAGTGTTAAGGATGGCTGCCTTCTGTAACAAGTGGTATATGTTTGATGGGAGATTCAGGGAATGCAATGACTTGTGTAGCTGTTTGGGAATGACGCCTGTGGTTGAAATAACTATTGGTTCTATTACTACATTCTTTAAATGCCATATTCTGGTTATTATTATAAGTAATTATTATTTTAATTAATACTGTTTGATTATGCTATCAGGCATCCACTGGCGATAGCGTCATCATATCTTTGTATTTTGGATTACTGATTGGGCGAAGACGTACCGGTCTCCTTCATCTACGAAGGACACACATAAATTATTAATTAATAAAATAATATTATAACAAAAAAAGATTTTTAGGAAAATATTTTTGTTGACTGTACTTTTTTGTTCTAAAATCTCTTATGTGGAAGTCAAATGTTTCAAGTCAGTTCGACCACGGAGAGTAAATTACTTTCAAGATTTAACTTAAACCAGAAAATGTATACCTATTGAACGTAAAAATGACAAATAAATAAATATACTAAAAATAAGATGTACTTAATTGTGACACATTTTTTAAATTTCTCAGAATATATCAAAGGTAGCAATTATTTAGAAAAGATAGCATTCTTGAATATATACTCAGTGCCAGATGCCACAGGCGACCAGCCATCCTGACGATCACACTTACTTTTAGCGTCGCTTGTTACTAAGTCTACTAAATGTTTCCCTAGGCGAAACTTTGACATTATGCAGAAATCTTAAAAATTCATTTAAAAGCGAAATAATTTTGAGCGTACGTGTTTCCACTCGCGCTGTGGGACAGGGATGCTGACTACAATACATTCATCCATTCATTCATCAAAATTGTCCCAGCCAATATGTAGCTGCCACATATTCCGCTATGCCAGAAACTCAAACACGACAAATATAGACATACATTACATTACAGTTTTTATAATGGGAGAGTGCTCTGAGGAAATTTCGACCTGATGTCACCGTCTCGTTTCCACCATCGCGTCTCCCGCGGAGTAGAGTCCATCCCCACATCTTAGATGCCTGGCATTGTAAGACCACGCGGGCATCTCTTTCGTTCCTTTCCTTCCTCGAACCTGCAAGACGTGGAATGAAAATCTTCCTCCGAAGTATTTATTTCCCTTGCGTTATGACATGGGGTTCTTCAAAAAGCGTGTTTAAAGCTGGCAACGCATAGACAGTTTATCTGATGTTGCAGTTGTCCATGGGCGACGATGACCACCTCTGGCTCATCTGCTCGTTTGCCTCCTTCCTTACTAAAAAAAAAATACAAGGCGCAGTATAAGTCGTTTCGTAGGTCATTGTTTACTTTGATTGACGCTCTCTGGAATACGTTTAAACGAGACGTCGAACCCTAGCTCATCGATTCAGGTCTCGACTGCACGAAGGACTGCACGCATTTACTGCTTGCAGCCGATCTTGACTTCATGAAGTCGGTTGCGACTTCATGCATTATAGAAATAGAAATCATTTATTCCTTGAATAATCAACACAGTACACAAGCATTTATAATAATAATACCAAAGGAATGCCAGAATACGAAAGAGACATTGGTCTTTTCATATGAGAGTGCGCTATTCGGTAAGAACGACAGTATGCGATACGTGCTACCTAGTAAGCGAACACTCCATTTTTAAAATATAAATAAATTAATTACAATTATACTATTATTTGTAATGTAAATTCAATTTAATGTAATTCTTAATTATTTACTTCGTTAATAATAATAATATCAATTCAATTTAATTTTTATATAATGTAATAAGGAAAGTTAAATTGATTAATGGGTCTTATTTATTTATTTTAATACAGATAATGATAATAATAATTCAAATTTTCAAATTAAAATTCAAAATAATCTTTATTTCATAGGTAAGCATTACTACACTTGAAATCGTCATACTGATTAAACTCCATTGCTCATTCGTAACGCAGATTCCCCTGGGAAGAATGAGCAAGAAACTCTAGGGGTTGCTCTTTGTAAATAACATTTACAATATTTTACAATTATTTACAATATTTACAATAACATTTACAATTATTTTTGATAATAATAATAACTTAACGATTTGGAACTAAATACAAATATAGAGTACAAAGCGCGTGTGCTGTACTGCCAAGGAAATCGTGACCCCCTCAGGTTGTTGTCATATCACTTAAACTTTGTCTCGCTTAGATTAACTTCAGTTAATGCAAACACGCAGTCAATCTATTAGCAACCCTACAGCTGTTATTCCGAGGGTCTCTTTTGGCACGCTATTCAATACGGAGATACTAATGCTGGTCCAACTACGAATCTCAAAACCGTCAGATTGGTGCATGCCAATGACGGCTTTTACCACGTTGATAGCCGCCGCCTCGTCTGAGAGGCACTGGAGTCACGTTGTTCGAGTCACAAATGACTCATATCGCTTTGGGTTTTTGTCACAGATATATATATCTAAATAGACGCTGCTAGTGTCTCTACTTCGCGTGCCCAATGTTAGTTATAAACAAATAAAATAATTGCAAAGCAAATAATTGCCGCTGCTCTGGGTTGCCAGACGTACGAGATTTCTCGTACGTTTGCGAGATTTGGTATTCTTTGTACGAGATACGAGCCAACTGCGAACCACGCATTTGTACGAGATTACTTAGGGTTCTTTATCTGGCAACCCGCGAAAAATGTCTGTTTGTGCCGTTATAAACTGCAAAACACCACAACTATGAATAAACAGGGACATTTCCTTCCACTAATAATACCTATGCATGATTTATTTTAAAAGCAATTATTTTCATTGTGAATGAATTTCGAGAAACAAATATGCAACCGAGTGTGTACCGCATGTTCGTAGTACATTGCGGCTTTTACTTGGTACGGTACACTTGTAGTTCTTCTTTAGTAGGCTGTGAATGTCGAATAAGTGATTAGCGAGATGTTGGAAGCAAAGGGATGATTATTCTTAAGACCTTAGAAAATGTTATAAAAATATTCTATAAAGTTTTTTGTTTTGCAATTTTTTTTTCAAAACACGTATCAATAAAGAACTTAATTATCTTCTTATGGTATTATTATACATTAATATTTCACGGCTTCTTATAATCAACAAATACTTGAAAAAAAAACATTATTCTTAATACGTGTTGCCGCGTCAGGGGTTGTAAACTTCGAAATAGCAATGAAACATTAATCATTTAGGTTGCCTTTATTTTTTCAAACAAATAAGAGACTTATAAGGAACATATAGTGTACATACGTGTCTTAGATAAACATCATTACGTTGTACTCTAGCTTAAATAACAAAGTTTGTTTCTTTAAATAAAATAACTAGAAAAATTTAGAAGAAAAATCACTTAACAACATTAATTATAAGAAGAGACGCGAGTGGTGTGGTTTTGTGACACGAGAGAAGCATTTCATTAACATATTACCGGTATTACGCTTCTACGTTTTCCTTTTTTTGATATCTTCTTTTTAAAAGCACTGGAAACCCTTCAAAAATGACCTAGTTTTAGTCATTGCCGACAGACTTCTAGTACATAAATGTGGCAAGCGTTAAAAAAAAGGAAAACATAGAGTCTTGGTACAATTATTTCTCATTGTATATGTCAAACATTTGATAAATAGATCTAATTTTGAAAGAGGAAATCGTGGAGAGCCAAACTTCAAATTTTACTTATTTCTAACTACAAAACTTAGCTAGAGTTGTCCTTGCTGCACTGTATTTAGGAGAATAGCGATGGCAACACTTTTTTCAGATACCTATTTTTCAAATTTATCGATGACGCTCGGGTCCCCTCTTTATAAGCAAGTCGATAGGTTAACGTGGTCCACTCTCCTGTAGCTGATTTATTTTAATAATATTTGTCTACAATTTACATTCTAGCCTGTATCCAGTTGACAAAAGAAGATACACGCGCGAAGCCGGCTGGGAACCCGCTCAAGCAACCACTGCCCGCCACGAAGGACGACACCCCGATCTAACAGACAGAGCACAAAAGTAGTTAATAGCCGGTTTTACACAGACAGTCGCGCGTGATACAGCAATTGAGCGCGCGTGTAAAGACGTTGGAAGGAAAAGGAATAAACTGTCGCGCACTCCAACACGCGTCGTTTGTGAACCTTGAGTTGAAAAAAATTTCATAGATTTCTCACAGATGGCGCTACAGCCAAAACATCGTCAAAAACTAAAACAAAGATTTGCAACAAACACATGGAATAATTCGTGAGGTCCGTTGGTTCGTTCCGTGGCTTAGTTGGCGTAGTATCTGGCACGGTTTGCTGGGGGACGTTGGTTCGAATCCAACCAGTTCGAAGTGAATTTTTCTATCTATAATAATTGAAACTAAAATACTATAGTTATAGATTTCGTTTCCAGATATGTTATTATACGCCGTCGAACCGCTTTCTTAACCTTTGACATATGCATGCCTCCGAAGTTACGTAATTACTACGTACAACCATGGACAAAATAATGCAATAGGTACTTCCTGGACTCTTTTATTTTTTAATTTTGGTGAAACAACGTGCTCTGTAGCTCCGATATTTATTGAGCCCACAGATTAAGTAACGAAGATTATAATGAAGAAAGTATTATGTTATACCATTGACTTACAAATAAATGGACGACGGTGTAATACAAAAACCACGAAAAAAATGTCCCAAGTCAACCTATTCGAAATTTAAATTGTAATGTCATCGCAGTATCGCGCTGTCAGTCGAACAAACGAAGACTAAAGCGTGAATGACGCTCTGTATACGATTTTAACGCCCTATAAGTTCGGACACTTTTTAGCGCGGACCCGACGTCCATATAATTGTAAGTCAATGTGTTATACGTAATAAATTATAATGAAATTCAATAATTAATAAATTCTAAAATTATTGTTTATTAAAAATGAACCGTCAGATTATTCTCCATAAGAACGGGAATCATCATTTAAATTCTCATTAACATTAATTCTTGAGTACACAAATTGTTAAAGGCAACATCAAGATCCCAATCAGACAATATCTTTTTTTTTAACCTGCTCGCATTCACGATTAAAAGTTCTTCATAAATAAAATCGATTGTTATAAAAAATCGAATCGGAAACGGACATCACTATAATTGATTAGAATTCGAGCTGTCGTTAATAAATGGTAGGACAGAGTTATCGCGTATATAACCAGAAATAGAGAATAAATAATCAATCAAAGGGACATCCATTTTAAATCATCAGGCAAATGGGCCTTATATAATTTTTAAGTACCAACTCTCGTGTGCTCTGAAATCACAAATTAGAAAACTGAAATAGTGTGTTTGTGTGTGACATGTGTTTATTGTAATAAAGATAATATCTCTAACAATGGCGTGCTGTTCCATTCGATGGTGTGGGAAAAACAGCAAAACATCTAATTACAAAACAAACGGAATCAAATTTCATCGGTAATTAAATAGATATTAAATATGTAAAGTTTTAAATTTTCGTCCATTATAGCAAAGCTCAAGTTAAACTGGTCGTGTTATTATTATTTAATTTAATTTTAGGAAGACCAACGGCTATCCTACATAACATAAACTTAAATAAAAACGGAGAGCCAATTATAGGTCCTCACCGGTAGATACACATTAAGTTAATTAAAGAGCTATAAATTATAACTACGAGTATATAACTAATAATTATACTATATAGGTAATGACATAATCGCACACACAACAATTAGCTACTCGTCAAAAAACAAACCACTAATAAGACGCTTCACCGATGCAACACTAGTGTTAAAAAGGTCAATATCAACCTGCTTGGACAACCTGTTGAAGTGAAATAATTGATGACACCAGTCAATTGTTTCGATTTCGGGCTGGCCAATCGGAGCGCAGTTGTCACCGTTTTCAAACAAATTAAATGACATTTCGTCTCTATTTCTGGTTATATACTCGATGAATTGGTACACCTAATAACTCGATTTCGCTAAATATGTCGGTTAATGTAGTCATGTTAAGGGAGGCAGTTTTCTATTAGTTGATAAACCTTATTAAATTAGTTTCTCACCAATAGATGCTCCGAGGTTTCATTATTATAGACACTAAGAGGTCCACCTGAGTCTCCTCCACAAGTGCTCCGACCATTCGCTGTGCTCGCACACAACGTGGATTCGAGAATCACCAATGGCCCGAAGACGTTCGCGCAAACTGTGTTGTTGATAACCGGCAAGTCAACTTGCTGCAGGTTTTGTGGTACTGGACCGTCTGGAATTTTTTTAATAATTTAGAATGAGAACGGTGAATGAATGGATATTTCCAACATGCACGGAAGAGCTTTTTTCGAAAATACTACAAATAAAAATACTCCGCCTAATTTAAAACAAGAAGCAAAACTTATCATGGAAAACTTGTTTTACTTTTTTATTACACATTCGACTTCGTTCTTTAGTCTTTTATTATATCCTCGTAGTGTTTGAGAAAAGCACTATATATGCCTCGGTGGGAACGGTGACTGCCTGACTCGTCCAGCAATCCTTTACTTCCCAGCCTCTGATAATAAAAGAGTCGCTATTTCTTTTTCGTTGTTCATATATTATTATTTTTCATAATGGCGACCCTAAATTATAATAGTACTTTTTACTCTTATATATTATTATTTCGACATTTCGACACAAATGGAGTAATGTGGTAACATAGTGTCAAAAATTTGCGTTTTAATTTTGGTCTATTTGATTTTTTAAGTGACATTGGTGCATTTCGAATAGCATTATATCGAAATTTTTGAACATTTATATCTCAAAGAAAACGATAACAAATTACAATGGTGTTATTTAGTACAAGACGGTACTCACTGTCTACACTTCTTCCAAAGCCAGTTGCGGTGGCCATGACGTCCACGAAGGCATTACTACCGGTTGCCAGATTGATATTTTTAATATTATCTGTAACAGTAACAAAAATTATATAAACCATAGTACAATAAGATACACAGTGTAACTTCATAGAGACGTAGCAGCGTGACTTGTATGTGTGCACGCACAGAACAATAAATACAGTAGTAGTGGTAAGTAAGCATAGCACGTAAGCCAACTGTAGGCGTAGTTACATTTACATGAGCTCTATCCGTCATTATCGGTTGTTGTGTCAGTTCTTTAGCGCAAATGTTCTAAAATCGTAGAAAAATTATAGATGCACCAAAGATATTACCCATGGTGGTATTTCATATCATCGGTAAGGCTTATTTTAATAAATTTTCAATTTTCTGTTTATCGAGTTTTTGTGCTGTGATTTTAGGCTGTGGATGATGATGATTGTATTTATGTAAATTAATTCTATGTTGGTTGTATTCACATGTCGAGTATATAACCAGAAATAGAATAGAATAGAATAGAATAGAATAAGGGCCATCCATCCCTGGCAACTCATCACGTGTATGGGCCTTCTATCACTTTTAAATATCAACTTTCGTTTGCATTGAATCACAAATGAGAAAGCTGAAATAGTACAGCGCCAACAACTGACCTGTGTGTACGTCTCCGTATATTCCAAGAATATTCTGTATTTATTGTAATAAAGATAATTACAATGGGGGCTGTTCAATTCCGTGGTGTGGGAAAAACAGCAAAACATCTAATTACAAAACAAACGGAATCACATTTCATCGGTAATTAAATATGAAATATGTACTTTTGCAATTTTCGCCCATTATAGCAAAGCTCAAGTTAAACCGATTGATTTTAAGTGAAACAATTGACGACACCCGTCAATTGTTTCGAATTCGGGCTGGCCAATCAGAGCGCAGTTGTCACCGTAATGATTTGTCAGAATGGTTTTCGAACAAATTAAATGACATTTCGTCTCTATTTCTGGTTATATACTCGATGTATCCACATCACATTGGGCAACGTTGTGCGTCGTAACACTTACCGTTATAATCGATCCAGGGTACTACAATAATGGCTACGTCGTTATTCAGTGTAGATTCTTGGTAATCGGCGTGCATTTCGACATCAGACGTAACCACACGGGTTCCACCTGTGAAGAGCGTTAAGGACCCCAGTACTACGGTGAATTGGAAAGCCTGTAGAAAGTAAATGGGAAAAATGTAAATTTTGTTGATATTTTTCAACTGCCCACATACAAGTGTAAAAGAAAAAACATTCGAAAACAAAAATTACTTCGCCCCTTGGTATCTTAAGGAAACATCTGTAAAATGAAAACTTTTCAGATAAAAGATTTAAAGACGATGACTTTTTTTCTACTCGTGTATCATAAACCATATCACAACGACGCTCTTTTCAGAGCTTCGTCATCTGCGCACGCGCCGCAGATGCGCTGTAGCGCAAACGCTATAGTGTAACAGCGAGCAAATATCGCGTTACAAGCAAGAAACTTGTATAGAATTTCACGTAGTTCATTTCTAAAATTAACAATCAAAACTAAAATTAAAACTGTCGTTTATCAAAATGCGCGATACATCGCGCGTTAACAGCGTTTCTAAGGTTCAACTCAGACTGGCGCAGAGTCGAAGCGTCTTATATGCAATCATTACATATTTAGGTCTTAAAGTCTTTTATCTATTTATTAGACTTACACGGTACTCGATATTAAGGACCGGCAACATGGAACGATTGCATAATAGTAGTATAGGTGACTGTTACATAATGAAAGGCTTTGAAACACCGTGTATTAATGCCTAATTATGTACAGTTATATATACACTGCTTTATCTACACACATATAAGCTGTCTGTGATGTGTTCAGGAACAGCATGTTACGACTGGCGAAATGGTGGGAAATAAAAACTTTTCTCACGCATGTCACACGCACAACTGTAGTTTTTATTTTTAATTCATAGGCAAACTAGAATCGGCCCCAATTATCATATCGTTCGATATCAAGTAACGTGTGAAATTGTCAAAATTGTTCGCTATTGACGTTTAATTTCGAATAAAACTTCATCTCGACTGATATTAGAATTGAGGTCCAATCAAATTGTTTTGTTTTTCAGGGATGTTCGAAATTTTAATGTAATAATAACATCGAATTCGATGTTATTTTGAAGCAATAATAACATTTTCACAGATAAGAAATTTGTTCTAACAAAACAGTTTACCCATATGCTGGTCGTACTTTGCGGTTTTTGAACACATTATACAGAGTTTATGATATGTGTGTATACAAAATACTATTATATTGTACCGTACCTGAATACTGCCATGTTTCCAGCAGTGTGCCGCAGTAACCAATCTGGTGTTTGAGATTAACGACGACCCACAAACAGATAGGCGGCCATCCACAAGAGTGACTTGCAGACCACCCTAAAAACCAAGGATATAAATTATTTATTTATTTACTTCTTTAATCGTTTATTACACGTTGAAAAAACACACAATTAACATTTTTTTTTATAATAACCAAGTGACGGGACTAATGTCGTGCGGCTGGTGGTAAGTGACACATCTGTCCATAACAGTTGCAGTGGCATCAGAGCTTTGCACTTCCACTGCACCGTCATCGCAAGTAGTGGCGCCACTAACTTTCATACTTACAATATTTAGCAGCGCCCCAGACGCGCCACTGGAACGCTTCTAGAAACGTCTAATTTGAAGGCGCCTTTATCTATACCCCATTCCGATCGTAGGTTACATTGACTTACAATTATATGGACGTCGGGTCCGCGCTAAAAAGTGTCCGCACTTGTATGGCGCTAAAATCGTATACAGAGCGCGACACTCCGCTTTAGTCTTCATTTGTTCTACGGACAGCGCGATACTGCGATGACATAACAATTTAAATTTCGAATAGGTTGACTTGGGACATTTTTTTCGTGGTTTTTGTATTAGACCCGTCGTCCATTTATTTGTAAGTCAATGGTAGGTTATGATAATATTCTTTTTTTTTTAATCTTTATTTAAGGAGGGTTTTTTCTTGATTAGAAAATGTCACCCCCATAATGACAGGCTCCTTATACATCGTCTACGGTCTTCGCTTCATTCCCACACACATTTTATGGGCTATATAGATATTACAGGAAACGTAATATGCGAAATTCCTAACTTGTATAAAGCAAAGCGGTCCTATAATTTGTTTAGATTACAACGCAAGTGTGAGGAATTCTTGACCGAAAAATATTGTGAGTTTTTTATAATATACTTAAACTAAAGTTTCGACTCATCCGAAGAACAAAGTCCGATGTGATTATTAGCAAAAAGAGAATAATATCGTTATTCAAACTAAGACCTATGTAAAGGTGTTTTGAGAATTTATACATATATCTCATTTCGTTTCGGAAATATAAAATCGACCAACAGTCGATCCAACATCCACATCAAAGAAGAACGAACGTAATGTACTATGTCCGAAAACAAGTGGTCTTGCACATAGATGTTTGTTCTACGGATGAGTAGGTTTGTGTCCACAGCTATAGCAACTACGGCTTTTTAATGTTCAAATAAGCTTCTGCATAAACAAAATTTTATAATTATGAACTGTCATAAACATTAACTTAGCATATGATGATATTCCAAGTACCAACACTGTATTTGCAGATAGGCAATACGACAAACGTACGGCCAACATATACAACACTTTGAATATGGAATTAAAAATGTACTGCAAATTGTATTATGAGTGTAAAAAGATTATATCGAAATGGAATGCGGGGAAAACAGCTGAAGTAGTTAAGGCTATGCTTGATAACCACTCTTAAATAGACGTACACATACACACGCGCACGCACACGCGCACGCACACGCACAAACACACACACACACACACACACACACACACACACACACACACACACACACGATTTTTTTTAAATCTTATTATAATCTTGAACGATGCAATGAGGAACGTGTTTTGAATTATTAGTTGGTTTATATATGTTTAAAAGGAGGCTCCAGCCACTATGGTTTAAGAAACCATGTTTTTAAAAAATAAAGATTTTATTATTATATTATAATAATGACAACTATATAGGAAAATCTTTGTTACAATTTTCCTTGCTCGCCGAATAAATAACGCACAGAATCGTACAAAAAATGTAACTGCGGGAATGAGTTTTAGTGATATACGTCTTTGTACTATTATGAGTATTCAAATTGGGAAAGTAATTGCCAAGTGGGTTGTACATACATTCATTTTAATATTTTTTTTTTTTTTTTTTTTTTTTTTATTGCGACTCGACAAAATGACTGCACCGCGCCTGATGGAAAGTGCGAATACAGTCCAGAGATGAGAGTAACGGATGGAAAACACAAATATCTTCACTCCGTCACTATCATTTTGCCGGTCTGGCCAAATGCACTGGATGTACACCAACTGATCCCTGAACGCGATTCGCAAAAGCGTTTCACTGTGGAGGGTTTTCCGCCGTGTGTACTGTGGTCGCTATCCAGTCGGCACAGAGCCTACCACAATGCTAAGCAGATGGACACTTGTGACGCCCTCGGTCGCCTCTTACGACCCCCACGGGCATGTATGGGGAGGCGACAATGTATTCTTAAGCCGTCGCCCCACGGCAATGAAATACGTTTTTTTATTATTATTTCACATAACAACCATTCGTCGGGGATAGTGCAAAGCCGCGTATGTAGTATTAGTAAAATCCGCGTATCTTCACCAAATCAAATTTCACTTACTTCTTTGTTATTTCAATGGCTACGACCTTCATTTTTGCACAGTAAGCATTATACCGAAATGGAAACTCATGATCTAAAGCTAGTTACGCGTAATTGCACCATCCCCGACGTACTCACTAATTTGGTAGGCTTTTTTTCAATCAACTTGCTATTGAATACCGTCAGAAAAATCTTGTTGAAATTACCCCGTGTGCAGCGTGACATAATTGCATAAACTTGTGACGGTGTGACCTCCTTACACCGTCGTCTCACCTCTTTGTATCGCCTCTCTCCTCTTGTATCTTATCATTTTTTTTATTTTACTTGTATTTAAATTTTAAATTTGAATTGTTCCATCTTCCTTCACTTTCTCATTTTGTTTTCGTACCACGGTCACTCCCAGCTCGACCGCCACAACAGTCAGAGCTGTATAATAATTTATAAGTCTACACCCTTCATGTATCTATTTCTGTAATTCAGTTTTTCGGCCCATTTAGGGGTAAGTGCCTTAATAATAAAGTGTAGGGAGTGTTTTATACTGTTATACCTGTTTTTTACATTTACCTTTATATTGTTACAGCCTTTCTTTAAACTTTACTTCTTTAATAAATTTTGTGGACCGGAAGTTTCCCATTTCATTGCCGTGAACCTGTTCACGGCTAGTTAGGGTTACAACCCTTTCAAACTGTCACTCCCCCAGCACCCGCAGCTATCTCAGGAACTGGTTCAGTTGAGTAGTGGGCCTATAGTTAAAAAAATATCTTACCAAATAGGGATGTTCCCCGAGAGAAGCCAGACTCCCGCCTACAATCCTTCCCCCGTTGAAAGCCATAGCTTCTTCAGCTGCTTTTATTCTAGCTGCTTCCTTCACACCTAAAATTGATTGAAATATTGTATCATTATATTAATACTAATTATACGTCTAGAGACACCTTACTTGATTAGCTTTACTAAGTCACTGTCGAAACTCAAACTGAAATCAACTTTTCAAAGGTAAGAAAATTGCATTTGAAATCTTCATTTCGTTTTATTTAAACTCTACTTACTACAGTGCGACTGCCGATAGAATGCAATCTGGACAGTTTATAATTTGACGGCCGATGTAACTTTGAACAGTAGGGCTAGAGTAGTAAGGGTGCTGGTGAAATTACAAGCACATGGGACTTGTCAACTTACGTCACAGGGTGACCGGCGCAATGGCAGTGCCCTTCAGATCTTTGCGATTTAAAGCTCTGAGTGGCACTGTAATTATCATGGACAGGCGTGTAGTTTACCATCAGGCGCGCGACTTGTTCGTCCCGTCACTTGATGTTATAAAAAAAATAAAGTAAGATATTTTTATCTTTAAAATACAATAACAAATACAAAATTTCACTAAAATTCAAACAATCGCCATAATATAATGTAGATGGCATGTGTAACAAGGTAGGCGTTTGCCTAGTTTGCCTATTTGACAAATAAATAAAGAAGCCAAAGAGGCAAATACGCAAGTAAACCGGTCATATCCATTGTTTTAACTCCTAATTTGGGTCCATGTATAGACATATTTGTCAGTGTTTGTCTGTACGTTAAATATTTTTCCAAGTACATCAAACACCCACTAACAAGTACAAGTGAATTGCTGCCATAAAACTCCGCACGCTGCAGAAGCCCGACCCCGTCGTAGGTGGGGTAGGTACGGAGCTCGTATTATTAAAACATTATTATATTATCATTACCATCATTATATCAGCCGGAGGACGTCCACTGCTGAACATAGGCCCACCCTAAAGATTGCCTATCTAGCCGATCGGACGCGACGTGCATCCATCGTGCCCTAACCTAATCCTTCGAGCTAAGTCTTTGACTTTCATTCTTCTACGGATCTCCTCATTTCTGATTTGATCACGTCGAGAAATGCCGAGCATTGCTCGCTACATAGCTCGTTGAATGACTTTATTATAATATATACGTACCAATATCCTCATGATAATTCCTAAACACAGGCTCATATGTTGGTATACTGTGACTTATACAAATCAAAGACAGAAGAATTAGCAGCTTCATGTTTGCAAGGTTTTTTTACTGTTTACTTGTTTCTTCTTACCGCTTCAACTTAACTAATTTACAATAAAACGTTACGTATTTTACCTAATATTAACTATTGAATTATCTTTGAAAATCTTTAATTTATAGACAGTGTTCTTATCACGTTGTTAATCTTATCAAAACGCGCTACTGGTGTTAGAAAACATTAACTAATCGGTAGAATTAAAAAAGTAATGATAAAGTATACAGGGTGTCCCACGGCTATGCCACATGGAGAGAAATACCATTGATAGAACATTTTATTGAAAAAGACTTCGTTTTGATTTTAAAAACAATTCGAACTGCATTCAAAGATTTTTAAATAATCGCTTTTCTGAACCGGGAATCGAACCCGCAAAATGTGAAAAAAAACCACCTGTAATGTTGTTAAACTGATCGAAAGACTCAATCATAAGGATTGTTTTCTTCTAAATAACATAACATCTTAAATAAAAGGAATACTATGAAATTTCGCTTTAATTTGAAATTTTGTTCAGGAAAATGGGCAACTTTTTCTCTGACTATGCCGCGCTCATAACAACATACATTATAGCGATTTAAATCCGGAAAAATAGTTTCATTTCCAACATACATTATCATTTCAAAGTGTTACTAATGAGTACCAACTCGAGAAATACATATCATTTCCCTATTACAAGTGCATGATAAAACAATAAGGAAATTCACAAAGGAGCTCACAATCACAAAGCGTCTGGCTGATTATAAAATAATAATTTGAAAATGTGTTCCATTTTCGTTTCTTTTTCGATATCTTGCATTGCAATTGTTGTGTGAATTTACTTACCATGGCGTATCAACATAATTTGGATTTAATGGAAGCATACTATATGCACTACTGCAAAGCTAGCTTTGCAGTGGTACCGCGACCGGTATCCCGATAGAGAAACACCATCTGGATTTATTTTGAAAAGGTTGATGGATAATTTGAAAAAATTAGGACGATTTCATCGTCGCGCACCGCAGCCACAGCACCAAATGATAAACGTTAACAATGATGAACTCGACGTTTTGATTTACTTTGAGGCGAACCCGAAGAATTTCGGGAAGGTGAAGAAGAAATTGGAATTTCAAAAAGCAAAATACAAATTCAAGAGTTCTGTTGAAGGGCGATTACTTCAAAAATTACGCCCGGGTGATGCCGAAAGACCGGGTTCTCTTAATACATTTTTACGAAGGGCATCTGAACACTAAAAAATATTTAGAAATACTTGAGATTTTAAGGAGCGAGATTAATAATCTTTCCGGTGCAGAACGACGAAGTCTCATTCTTCGGCAAGATGGGGCTCCGGATCATAATAGTCGGAGAACAGCGGACTTTCTTAATGAACATTTTCCTTCCTGGATCGGTACTCATGGACAAATTAAATGGCCTCCGAGAACCCCGGATCTAACCCCGTTAGATTTTTTTTTATGGGGATATGTAAAAGATTTAGTTTACAGGAACCGGTATGAGAGTGTGCAGGAGTACAAACTGAACTTAGACGTACTATTTTAAACATTCACCATGAAAAGATAAATAAATCAACAGGAAGCGAAATTATGAAAAGAGTGAGAATTTGTGTACTACACAATGAGAGACATTTTGAACATTTGATAACTTGAATTGATTGATTGTAAGTTGCAATTAAATGTACCTAATTATTTTAATTAAATTTAAATTTCATGGTCTTCCTTTTATTTAAGATGTTTTGTTATTTAGAAGAAAACAATCCTTTGATTGGGGCTTTCGATCAGTATAACAAAATTACAGGTGGTTTTTTTTTTCACATTTTGCGGGTTCGATTCCCGGTTCAGAAGTCCTCTTTCAGTAAAATGTTCTATCAATGGTATTTAAGATACTTTCCCTCCATGTGGCATAGCCGTGGGACACCCTGTATATCCAAATGATAGTAATTAATTAATTCTTACACCACACACCACTCTGCTGCTTTGTCTGTAATAAATCCTAGTCATCTATAAGTCTAGTGGAAAGGAATCCAAGGTGGCCAGTTGGTATTTAGCAGAGCCATCCCATGGGTCCCAGAAGTACACCATGCACGACCGTGCCTGCGCTTGATACAGCTGAAGCAATTGTCCCTATCTATCGACCCAAGAGATAGGGAGTTCCGGGGAGCCTGACTCCCTGACGGAGGGCTTCCGAGCCGAGCCCTCCACCTCCACCCGGACTTGGTTATGGACTCGCCGGGGTTTGTGGTTAGCTGCAGGGATGACGTTCGTCTGTTCCGGTAGTATGTGGTCAGGGCGTTCGTCCTGCGCGCATTTGGCGCGTCTAAGTGGCGGTCTAGACGAGGAGATGCGCGAGGCATGTGAGTTGCCCTTTAAGTCGTAAGCTATGTCCGGACATTGTCGCAGGATCCTGCTAACGGTATCTCCGGCACTAGCCGAGGGAGCTAGTAGAGGATGAGCTAGACATCCTCCGGTCCCCTCAGCCGCGTATGAATTTGGGAACTAGGGAGACGCCGTTTTTCGAGCGTGACTTACAGCTCCGCCACCGAACAGCTCGTGGTAAATTTCTAGTTAAATTTCACACATAAACTCCGAGAAACGTAGAGATGCGAGTCCGAATTCGAACCTATAGCCTCTGCTTAAGAGATGGTAGATCAAACTGTTACCACAACTGTTTCAAAGTAAGTAAGTCGTATATGTAGGAGATGGAGTCGACAAAACCACGATTTTTCTTTCAAAGGGCAACCGAGAATCTATAGATACATTTCACCGAGCAAGAAACTATCTTGCACTGTTACAAGAAAAGAATCTAATGCAAAACAAATGCACCGGCTCATCCGTAGCGATCGAAAACATGCAACATACTCAAATGTATTGGGAGTGCCACAGGGAAGCGTATTGTGTCCTCTGCTTTATATAATTTCTAAAAAAGAACTGCCACATCTTACTCAGTATTATGCTCGCTGATGATGTCACAATATTATTGACTAATAATGGAGAAACAAAAACTAAATATGAATTTGACATAAATAACGCTTTAAACGGTCTTACTACATGGCTGAAATCACTAAATTTAAAAATAAATACTTCTAAAACAAAGTATATGCTTACAGTTTGGTAATTACTAAAAAAAATGACTTAGATTTACATATAACCTGTGATAATGACTTCGTTTATCATATTTTTTCCATGATGACTGATGTGATTGAAAATAACACAAACATACACACTTTTCAATCTATTATGATTTACAAGTGGGACTAAAATAGATACATAGGTTTATATGGGTTTAGATAGTGCTATCTTTTGAATTTGTATATTCTTACTTTACGTCACTTGGATTATTATAAAAATAAGTGGGAAATCCAATTGGAAATTCTTAATAACATCCTTAGCGTAGATAATATTTAGGACCATAAATTATTTGGATTAGTGGACCTAAATTATTTTAATTATATCAAGTGATAGAGGTGGTTGCCAAGTCGTGCATATAATAAATAGTGTTGGGCCAAGGAAAAATTTCCTTTTTGAAAAAATCATATTTTTCCTTTAATTTTCCATATTTGACGTTGACACCTGAGCAAGCGAAGGAAGCTAAGATTCAATCAATCTCTCAATTATTTAAAAATAGATTCCTGAACGTAGCGAGAGTTTCAAGACACGAGACGCAAAAGAACTTTGCTGCCGAGCGAGACACACAACTTTTCACCTCACTATAGCGAGGAAAATGATAGATGAAAGAAAAACAGTTGAACTGCAAAATATCAGTTTTTTTTAATTTAAAGAAAAAGTCATATGGGATACGTTCTGAATTTATACCTTATCAACTTTCATTCTGGCTTGTATTTTTATTTTGTGTGATTAATTGATTATTGAAATTATTTTAGTTCTTCGACGAATTGAAATAATTTAATAAACACAATTAGTTGTTATTGTCAATTTAATGTCAACAATAATAAGAATAAAATATGCCAACGGATTTGTGTTACACAAATCGCTTAATTGAACGTTAAAAAGTTAAAAAAAAAAAGGTGCACCACAGTCCATCGTCAAGTTCGAATTTCAACAACCTTTTCCACGCTAGCGTGCGTTTGTAAGGAAACGATACATGAACACCCAATGCCTAAAGTGTCAACACCCTGCTACACAATCTACATCGACCACTGAGAACCTTATTAATGAATGAGTAAAAAAACGTACATTCTGGTAATTATAGATGTTTATTCAAAAGATGAAAGATGTCAATACTCAATACTCAATATATTTATTGCATTCATATGGTATACATGTCTTAAATTTAAAATAATGCTACACATATGAGCCCTTTATTAGGGTTAACAATAACGGCAGAGGTAGGCCGAGGTTTCAATTATTAATTAAAATTGTTATTTATCAAATAATAATATTAAAAATATGTCATATAATAATAAATAAATACGTCATATTATGAGTAGAATTATGTCACTTGAAAGTTTGAATTTAATTAGATTACAGTATATAATTAACATTTATTTATTATTCAAATTTATTATAATATTATTATTTTTATTTGTCATCAAAGTATTCATTTAAATTGTAATAGCATTTATTAATAAGATGTAATTTTAATTTATTTAGAAACAGTGAATACTTTTCCTCGTTTTTAATAATGGGCGGGCTTTTCTACGTTTTTAATTGAATATCCTCACCGATATCGAGTGGGGACTTGAGCTGTGCATGTGTAGCCGAGATCGTGGCAGAAGCAATCTATTGCGTGGTCTAAAAGTGTGTCGTTGAGGCAGGTCGTCAGTGTTAGTGTAAAAGTCAGGGTGTTCTTTAATAAATTTACAAATTTCTAAATATACACTCTTTTGCAAAAAAAACAGGCACCTAAGGAAATTTACGTTCTAAAGTCGATTTGAGTTAATTAAATGAAATTTATTTCTTTGACTTAGTCTGTATACTTATAATCGTGTAAATTAATGCGCGTGAAGTGAATTCGGGCAATTAAGAGAAAAAAAAACGATGGATTCTTTAAAACCGATGTACACGCCCAAACAATTAGAAGTGGTCGGCAATA